GATTAAAATTTCCGAAACTTGCAAACTATATTTAAAAACTTTAAATTTTGGAAATGCGAGTGTGAAAATCACAACCGTATATTTGATTTGTATTTGCATGATATAAGCAGTACAAGCTGAAGAAATGATAAAAATTCTTTCACGGAAATCCTTTATATTTCGATTTCTTTCCCTTCCAATATATGAAACAGATACACGATCTCAGACTTCGTCATTTTGATGCCTCATAATTCTTGAATGTTAATATGCTTATGGAATTCCATAAATATCTATTGTATGACTATAGAAAGATTAACAATTTTTTAAAATGCTTACAAAACTTAAAGGATTATAACTGAATACAGATTTATCATTATACAAGATCGTAAATAATGATCTATTATTTGCAATTCTGTTATTGGCAATTTTTTTCCGTAAATAACTTTATCTTTTCTAAAAAATATTTATATACGGAAGAAATAATCAATTTGATAGTATATACATAATACCTTCAAGAGATTACAAACAAAGAAATTTTTAGAGTTTAAAATTAGAAAATTTATAAATAATTTTATTGTTAAAATATAGATTTTAATTTTTCGAATTATCCCTATGGAATTCAAAATCCTTGAAATGACAATAACCATAGTTCGAAGGAAAATGTTGCAACATATCTAAACGTTGCGTTCTTAAAACAGCAACGTTCATTACAAATGCAACAACTATGGGATTTAATTGCGAGAAATGCGGTGAAGGTTGCAAGAACATTCTGAACAACTTTTCTCAGAGAGTGACATATACACATATTTATATGCATACATTCCTACCAATGAGTTTCTTATAGTACCGATGACAATAGAAATAACGGTTACCTGTTTTGCGAGAAGAAACACCGGATACTAGAGGATCCGCTTTTTCTTCTAACTGGTGTAACAGTACAGACACGCTCTAAAAAATGTTATCTCTCTCATTCAACAAATATCGTTTTTCGATTGTCATCATATTATTTCTATTTTCTTAATATTCACCATTTTCAATTTGTTTTTTCTGAGTTAATACTTTTATAATCATGATTATTTTTTGAATATTTTAGACAAAATATTTGCTATGAATATGGATTAAGCTAAATTTTTGCATTTATTCTCAAATTCAATTAATCTATTCTTGAATTAATTCTGTCCTGAATTATGAAAAATGTTTTCTTTAATAGTTTCAAAATAAAGTAATCCTGTAAACAAATATTCTTCAATAAATATATAAATATTACATTGTTATAATTAACAATACATGATCAAAATTAAATACAATATGACATATCTATCGTTGTAAATAAGAATCAAATCAAACGATATTTATATATACATGTATAAATGACATAATATGATAAATGAAATGAATAATGGCGGAAGAATTTTTATCATTCGAGGTAACGAATCAGTGACATCGACCGATAACGTATAAACTATTCAATTCAACCCGAATTCTAAAGAAATAATCCTTCAGGCGATAGTTTAGAAAGGCGACTTTCATCGATACACCACATAACTTTTATTGGACGTGTTTCTGCACACCTGCCTCAAGTATTACGTGACATATATCCTAGAGGCAAGATGCGTTTGCTTTATCAAGGATAAAACATATTTCGAAATCTATTCATAACTATTTTTCTTCGTCATCGAGATTTATTGTAAAAGAAATATCATCTTATGTCGTATCCACGGTTAGAAATTATTTGTGAAAAATAATTGAAAAGTTTTTAGAATTTACAAATAATTATAATATAGGTTTTGATTATACACTTTTTAAGATCGTAAAATTAACCTTGCTTAAAAAGAACTTGCGAATCTATGATTATTTTTTATGTAATCGTCTTAAACCATAAATAAAATTAAATAACAAAAATTAGATAAGTTAAATCTTTTGTCTCATTACTATGTCGTAAAACAAATGAAATTTAATATATATTAATTTCATTTTATACATTCATATTGTTTTTATAAATAACTTAATTTTTTGAGTAAATCATAAAATAAATAATTTATTAAATATTTCTTAGAAATTATGATCATATTTTCATTATTGTAAGTTATATAAAAAAATAAGATGTAATAGCAATGAAATTTATATGCTAAATAAAAATTTTTAGTAAATAAAACTTATGATTCTTAATAGTATTTTAATGAGATTCAATACAAACATTTTTATGACAAAAGTAAAAATATTTACTAATTAATAAAATCTTTATTAAATTATATTTTATATAATATATATATATATATATGTTATATAAAAATTTAAAGAATATTTTAATGCTTCATTATTTTTGAATAAATAAAATTTAATATATATTATATTGAATGTTTTGTAATTAAGTTTCATGTAAATTAAATCTTTTATAATTTAACTTTTTCTCTAATATATATCCCAAATAAAATATTTAAAATTTAAATGAATTATTTAATTATATTATTAATTTATTCAATAAAATTAAAGAAAGAAATATCTATTAACAATTTATATTATATTAACTTTCGTATAAAAAAGACATATGTTCCAATAAGGTTAGAAAATTGATTTGCCGCCATATTTCTATATTTATAACACTATCGTAATGATGAATTATGTAAGGAAACTTCGTTCTTACGCTTTATTTACTATATACATATCGTATAATATGTATGCAATATTAGAAAAACTTTTTTTTATATTTATCAAATGTTTATATAATGATGAAACGAATAAAAAAAATTCAATACTCACCTTTGCGACGAGTTGTTGACCAGAATGTACATCGACGCATCGGTATAGAGCGCTCCCCTCGGCTGGTCCAAGAAGTAGATACCGATCGCCAAGTATGGTGGGTCCATGATGATCGGTAGGCAATGGTTCGTAACTAGGGAAGACAACTGCTGGTACCGAGTTCGTCTCGTCATTCGTCGGCTGTTGACTGATGTCCTGATTATTGTTCGGGCAGACCAGGAACTTTCCATTGTTGGTTCGAGCCACTTGTAGATGAATAGAATGCTGTCTGACAGCGGCTGTCACTCTCATATTGTGCTGTTTTCACACACGCACTATTTTACACTCGCGACACTATTGCCTCCCTATTATCTTCTTTCTTCAAAAATGGTTTATTTTAACAAAACGAAGCACGTATTTTTTATGAAGTTCAATCGAATTTCGTAATTATTCGTAATTATTGTCAGTGGACCGTTAAAGCAGAAAAGCCTTTTGAACACACTTCACGTCACAAGATTACCGAACCGGGTAGCTGCGACAATTATCGATTATAACGGACCGATTTTAACGCTTTTAAGCTCTATCGGTATAAACGCGTGTAATAGCTACAAATTAATATTAGGTAAGAATATCACTTGTGCTTGGGCCCATGTAGCGTTGCTTCGTGCTACAGCTGGGTCCTTGGACGGAGATCTTCGTGGGTGACAATTGGTCACTTTTAACGAAAAAGCTCTGTAACAGATAAAAATGAAATTGTTTTATACGCAATGTAATATTTAAAATCTGAATGAAATACAAAAACAGATAATAATTCATTAATATACTTTTTATATTTGAATAAATGTATAAAATTATACATTGTTAATTAAGTCAAATTATATGTATTCATAATAGGGCTTGAACGACAAGGATTTCGTTCATTACCTCTATGTGATTCACGGACAATTTCAAAAGACGTTTCGACACTCGTCCTGCCTTGTGCGCAATTTCTATAGAGAAGGGGACCACTGTAAGGTCAGGGATATCGCTGTAAGGCGGTCGTTGCGCTGTAATGTTCTATCCAGCCAAGGAAGCCGAGTCACAGAAAAATTATAAAACGTGATGCAAGAAAATCTTGAGGGCATTATTAATGCTGTTAATAGTATAACGAATTTTTATGAATTCCCCTTCTCTCTGAATTTACACCTTGTTATGAAAAATAAATAATAAATTTGCATATCACTTATCTTCATTCAAATATTACATACATTTCGATAATTATTATTTTTATAATTCAACATGTCAATTTTTTAGATCGTTATATAGACCGTGTTTTTCTGGTAACTTAGGTTATATGATCTTTTTTGAACAGTATCTCGAAAATATATATATATATATATATATATATTATTGCAAAAAATTACAAAATAATTGTAAAATATATTTTCACAAACAATTGTAATTTCAAAAAGTAACTTTCTATCCGATTTTCATTTACGATTACTTACTTGATATGCAAATTCAATATCCTTGATTATATGAATTATATAGTTTGAAATTAAAAACGAATTATAAAAATTATGTATTTATATTAACGTTTGTTTCTTATGATATTATCAATTTCGTTTTAATTTCAATTTAAAAACATTATCAGATAATAAATTAAGTAGCCAATCTTAAAAAAAGAAAAAATCTATACCGGTAATGAGAAATTCGAATTTCAGAACTTACTCGATCATTCAATTTTATCATTGGTGTGAATTCAGACTATCGATATTCGCGAAATCGCGTCATTACGATATCGCACTTGCGCAAAACTCTTACCGTTCCAAAGATCAGGGATGCGAATATGAGAATAAGTACACGTCTCGCCCCCTGGTTTTCTCTTTAGAAAATAATCAACCGCGATTTTTATTCATTTTTTCTATTCAATGATTTTTTTCATTACAGTTAAATTTCTTTTTAAAACACTACAATTTTTAATTGATTTCTATATTTTTTGATGTAATATTTCATATATAACATCCAAAAATATATCTTTTAATAAAAAAGTCTCTAATACAAACCTAACCTAACTTAACTGAAACTTAGCTGTAATTATAGTTCTATTTAAGAATATAATTTTTTTTAATTTTTATAATAAAAATTAAAAATTTTTTAATTTTATTATTCAAATATTTCAAGAAAATATAAAAATTGATTAAAAATATATATTTTTGAAATAATGTTAAACTAATAATTTTCTATTTTTGATTATTCGAACATTGGGAATTGAAAAGTTAGTAATGTAGCGAAAGATGATGGGGCCCTGTGCTAGAACTCGTAAATGTCTCCCATGTCCAAGTTTATTGAATGAACGAGAATCTGACGAAATAGCGAATTCGGTATTAGTAAAGGATTGCGTCCGCACAGTAGCGCGTGTCGAAACGCATGTTATATTCGCACACACACTATCAAGCAGATAGCAGATATCCTTCGGTAAGGTCAAAATGGCGGAGTTCCACAGTTGTCACGGCGATATTGCGGGCACCGGTTGCATTAATAGCGCGCGAGAACGTGACGCAATACCGCGAAATAAATTGCCTAATACGTCCGCTCGGGCAGTCTATGACTTTACGTGGATGGTTTACGCCGGCGTTTATAACTTCCGATATAATAGAGGAAAAAAGTAAATGACAACAAATTGTAGCTTTTCATCATTTTTTTGGTGAAATTAAGAAAATTTATTCGAATATCAAAATATTAAACGAAACATTTGTGAAATTTTCACGATATTCAAGATAAACGAATACCAATAGATATTGATTATTAATTCCAACAAATAAAAGATTCGATAGAAAAGCTAGCAAGGAGTGTACACTAATATCAGGGCAAGCGCACCGAAGTAAATATACGATAGAACGAAGAAACTGACATCGATCCAGTACGCGTCGGTAATAATCACTGCACTTTGCACTGTTCTCATACGAAACTGATACGCAAAATATATGCATCCGCGCACTCACTTCATAATGTTTTTTCTTTTTTCTGTTTAAATAACCTTATTTGAATCTAAAACAGCAGATGAACACATGTTACCTTTATATGTTCTTCCTGTTGTCGCCGTACGTTCCTGAACGGGAGGCTGGGATGAAGAAACAGTCAGATGTAATTTGAGTTTCTCCCAAAGACGTTGTTGATAAACCGCCGTCTGTTCGAAAAGCGAAGCCCTGGTTTTTGTCGGGCGTATTGGTTTTTCGAATAGCGCGCGCTTCGGATAAAACCTGATCTTCTTCCTGTTAATTCTACCTAGATGATGTATCGGTAGCAATGGTTTTTCTGTTCACGGTTCTCGCAATTCGTCTTCCGTCCAGCCGTCGTTGTTATTGTTTCTCTTTAGTCACTCACTACGAGGACTGGATAATTCGAAAGAAACAAAGAAACTTGAAGAGCTGAGCGGTTACGAACGAGGGAAACTGTGCGGTAAGATTTGTATCCCGCGCAACGGACGGTCCAACGTTTTGGGCCGGCCCTCCGCTCAGAAACGACGGCGGCAGCAGAACGAACAAGCACAAACCAATCGTGCCATTGTGCAGCAAACGACTGAAGCTACGGTCGCCGCCTTGGTTTAACCCAACAGAATCGGTAAATACGTTGTGGGGAGTGGGAAATAAACGCGCATGCGTGTTTCACGGATTTTCAGTACCGGCTCAAGAACGTCGTGTTATATGGTATCCTCGTGTGTTTTTCGTGTTTAAAAACGTGATTAAAATTTAGAAGACAAATTACACAAAGAAAAGATCTTTTTCTTTTAAATTCCTATGGTAAGATATTTCTTTTTATTCTTAATTATCAAATAATAATATTATAATTAAAAAAATTATATATACACACACACACACACACATATATATATCTATATATACATACAATATAATTATATATACTATATATATATATATATATATATATATA